CATATTTCTAATTTCCTGGCGCTTTTTTCAACATAGAGAATAAACCTCTAAATAGTTGAGAAATGAACAAGTGTTGAAAGAAAATATTAATGGATAGGACCAATGTCTGTTGGGGCAATGGCTCACAGAAAATTAGGAGTTCTATTTCTTCACATTTAGCACTCACTTGTTGGAAAATGTTCATTTTCCACAACCATTTTACATGCAAACAAACACCATAGAATACCCATTTTCAAAAGACAATTTTGTTTTCCTTCATCTTACATACAACTAAACAGAGCGTTAAACAATTAGAAGGATTGTTATTTTCCTTCAACTATTACATTTAAAACATTTGTTTTCCACAACCATTTTGTTGGCAACCATAACATCTTCTGTGGAATTCTTTTGTTTTCCTTTCCTTCATTTTTATGCGAAACCAAACGGTGCCATATTCTAATTTCGTATGGCAAAAGCTAGAATATAAGGAATGCAACTCCTATTATATTCATTACCCCATATAAATGATGGACCCATGAAAAGACGCACCACAAGACAAAGCTGGACATGTCTTTTTGTGAAACCCACCTTGTTTTTGAGGGGAAAAAACTTCATAAACTGGACTAGTATCCTTTCTTTATAACGAACATATCTTTTCCATGAAAACAACAGAAAGCAGACCCGATCAAATTTTCCACAGCAAAATCAAAACTTTCAGGATGAATGCTTCACATCTGGGGCCTGATCCAGTTACCCATAACAAAGATGTCAAATCACAGGAGGACAAAACATAAACAAGGGTTTTGATGCAAATATGAAAGGTTATGAATTAAGGGGTGTTGCGTCTTGTTCTTTTGTGATCTAACAAGCCCATGAAGGCCAATCACCTTTAAATATATTCTCCAGAAGCAGGTTGTCAGTGGAGTCATGATATGATATACAGAATATACAATAATCAATTATGTGCATTATTGTAATTCAATTATGTGCCTTGGCGTTGCACTGGTTATATGGTTGTCTGATGAATGGTGAATAATGAAATAGACTACAACATTTTCCATCATCTCTCATGTGGCCATCCCTTATAATATGGAGCTGGAGCCAACCTTCCATCCCATTGGGTGCTAATCTCTCACCAAGCTTAATCAGCAAAAGGGTCAATGATTTCCCAAACAAACAAAAAAAAATCCTCATGTTTCAAGCTTTCTTCTAGCGGCTTGAATAACTTGCTCTGTGGGTTGGCCAACACCCCATCTTCTAAGCTATCTCCATATGTCTAGAATTTTGAACTCATGTGCTCGTGCCATTTCTTGTCCCTGTCAAATACCAAAAGAGCATCAACAGGTTTGGTCCTTCATGTGGTATGGATTAATTCAAGCAGCCTTGGATTCTGATTTTATTGAAGACATCATCTGTTTCGCAGCCAGAGAAGCTCTGGTTGACTGTATGGGGCCTCATTTTGGAGTGAGGATTTATACCAACATTCATACCATTTCTTTTTAGAAAAATATACTTGACTAACAACAATAAATCATTATGTCATACTTGTTGTATTGACCTAGCCACTCCAATAGTGTTAATACTGGCTTGCAGGGAGAGAGAGAGAGAGAGAGAGAGAGAGAGGCTCAGTAAGACTGTAAAAGGGTGAAAGATGAAGTGAAGAAAGAAGTGTACAGAGGACAGGGAAAGGGGATGGGAGAAGGATAGGTCAAACCTTGTACTATGGTTGGAATGACTTGTTGTGAGAATGGCCAACAACCCATTTTCTCAGCTTGACCCACTTTGTTTAGCATTATGGGTTCAAAACCTCAACCAACTACACGTCCATTCCAAATAAACCAAAAGCATTTAACAGACACTGGGCCCTTTCATGTGCTGCAGATAAACTCAAGCCCCCTTTTTCCCATGCTACTTTTGCTGTTCCTCAAATGGACAGTTGGATACGAACAGTGAATTGAATACCTTGATGTAACCAACACATTGTTCGGGTTCCCTATTAGTGGTGCCAGGACGTGACCCAAACCCAAACCTCATCATCCATTTACACCTAGGAAAGTGACTTTCAGAGAATCGGACAGTCATTTTTCGTGGAAAAAACAGTTTCTATTTTCATTTTCAGGGTAAAAAAAGAAAAGCGTAAAAAACAAAAAACAGAAGATTCTTCATCTTGGAGCAAGTCTGCAAGTTGGATCGTTTGTGGTTGCAGATTGGGGCCCAAGATGACTCCACAAATTCTTTTTTGTATCCTTCATTGATTCATTGATGGACCAAATTTGAGCTCCAAAATCCTTGCCGCGCTGAACGGTCAAAAACTCAAAATAGAATCCTTCTTTTTTCAGATAAGTTCTATAATGGCCCATATAGCTTGTGGATAACATCGATAAGAGGTGGGGTGAATGATTGATGCTGACTGTAGAGTTGAATGGGTAGTCAATTAAGAGAGTCTCCCTACATGATGGACAACTCTGATTGGCCACATCATGAATTCACTCCTCATGGCAGAAATATGACAGGTTGTGTAGGGAAGGCAGCTTCACGTTAATGCACATGCACTGTGGCACTTCTAGATTCTAGCAGTGGGTTGTTCATTGCTTATCACTGCAATTTACCAATTCACTCTGAGAATGCAACTAACCCTTAAATGAACCAAGCTTAAAAACAGTTGCCAATATCATGAAAGCATGGTAAAAAGTAGGCAAGTTAATGAGAGGTAACCTTGTAAATGTAGCCAGAGTTAGGATTTAAGAAGGGTAGCCTTAGGTTTTGAACCACAGTCCACAGAAGAAACAACTGAGGGTGGAGAGAATGGAGCACAAATTCTACGCCCACAGGAAAGGAAAATAACAAGTAGGGCCTTAGGGGAAGAGTCAGTGAGTCACTTGAGAAAGAAGACGAGAAATGGACACATGGCCACATGGCACACTACACATGAGGAGCTATCAACTGGAGACAGAAAATTACCACTCCTAGTGCACCTGCATCTGCATCTGCGTGGTTGTTTAGTAATTTAGAAGAAAACAGAGGGCATGCACGGAACACCAGATCTTATAAATGGGGGAGGCATGTGTATTTGTTCCCCATGCAATAAGCTCTCGGTGGTTTTAGCCTTCTAGGGTCAGCTTTGACAAGTAGTTGTTCTATAAGAAAAGTCAGTTAATTGAGAGAATTAAGGGTTGGGAGGGAGAAGGACAGAAGGAAAAGATGGTGTCGAAAGTGGTGGCGGTGGTAGAGGAATCCATGAAAGCGAAGCAACAACAACAGCAAGCACAACAGAAGGGCAAAGATCATCATCAGCAACAACAACAGCAGCCGCCCTTGCAGAAGAAGCAGATACAGATACAGTGCAACAAAGGGAAAGCTTGCAAGTTCAAGAGGAGCAGCTTCAGTGGTGAAGATGATGGAGCTTCGTCCGCCATTCTCTTGCTAGCTTGTATCGCTTGTACTCCCTCTTCTATTTAGATTTATATAGTTTAGACTGTATATGTAGACGGATAACTAGTTAGATTGCTTTCTTTCAGGAGACCCAGCAGCAGGGTTGTGTAGTAAATGAAGTAGTAGTCCCAGGTTCTGCTTAGTTTTTCTATTCTACTATTTAGTTGAAACTCCCTCTCTCTCTCTTTCTCTCTCTCTCTCTCTCTCTCTCTCTCTCTGCCTGCAAGCCAACAATGTCTACAAAGAGAATACAGTCCATATGCGCTCGTGTATATTCTATTAATAGCTTTGTCACGTGGGTCATGGGTATGGATTCTTTTTGGGTGCTTTAGCCCCATGGATTATTATAATGGATACGGGGTTCGTGCTTCATTGCACTCAACTGCATCTGCATGACAGAGAGCTAAGGCGTTTTCATGTCTGACTGAAAGGGGACACCTGGAAGTGCTGAAACAGAAACAAAACGGCAACAAGTGGCCTGTACATAACTATACAATTGTAATAGAGCCAGACTGCTAGAGTCGCCCCAGACCCATCAAGGAATACAAGTTCGTAAGCCACAAAAAGAAGCGCCATACAAAGACCCTTCTCCAAATTGCTGTGGCCTGTGGAAATTTAACAAAGTCCATGCAATTAATCTATAAAGCTATTTATAGTTTGTATTTACATCTTTCTCTTCTTTCGCTGCATCCCTGCAAGTTAATTGCATGAGCATACGTCCAGGCAATTACTTGTTCCCCGATAACCAATATTTGCCTTCCAACACTGGTTTTCGAACTGCCGTTGACCCAGACAGTCGAACCATTCGGCCCAGAACTATGCAAGCAACCAATTCTATTTTACTCTAAACTCAGTCCCTGATCATCCATTCCAGACAGTTGAACTGTTGACCCTTTCGATGATTTTTGGCCAGTTTTTTATTTTTTAAATTTTTTGTCATAACAGGCCATTCAAACCGGTGGCCAGTACGGTTCCTTCGTATCGTTTTTTAAAACCATGCATAATCCTGCTCCCAAAAGGCCAAAACCTGCCAACTTTACCTCGTTCGATACAACACCAGTCAATTCCTCAGACCGGCAACAGAACCAAAGATTGATGACTATGCATACCACTTGGTAACCAGGAACGCTGGATCTGGCGTGTCAGCTCATCAATCAATAAAATATAAAATAAAATAAATTAAAGACGCTCCAAGAATCCAGGACCATCGGTCCCCAAATCCTACAACGATATGGTGCAACATGCAAGTGATGGTCTATGGGCTATGGGTCCATGGCTCCTAAGAAAGAAGAGCTCACTGCTCACGATTGACGACGATTCCTGACGTGGATCAAAACCTTGAAATTTCCAGCACCGGTTGCTTAAACCATAGCCACATAGCAAGTCTTTGACTTCAAACCAAAACACACAGAACGTCAGCACGCCAACAAACCCAGAAAGTTGAGAGCTCTTACACCTCATGGCTTCATCCGAGGATGCCTACACCTATATACCCTTCTATCAGGATTAATAAATTGTAAAACAACAACCATCATTTCATCAAGAATTAAACGGAAGGTTACTTAATACACTTCACTGGGTTGAGACTTGAGAGAAAAAAGAGAGAATTGGACTACTATTATAATATAAATATATGTCTACTCTCTGAAATTCAATATTCTTTACAACAGGCAAAACAAAATCTGTTCAATATAAGTAAAGAAATAAATAAAGCCGACAGGTTATGCACCTTCATCCATGGACTCTCCTAACACCTTCCGTTCTACCACAAGCTTCTCTATAATTCTCTTGAGAGCAGGCGCACTGGCACTACATTTCTGATCGGTAAAGCATGATCGTCCTTCCTCTGCTGCCTTGCCCAACTGGGGGTCCATGGGCACCTTGCCAAGGAATGGAACCCCCATTTCCACACACATCTTTGCCGCACCACCACCACTACTATCAAACACTTCACTATGAACAAACAAATCTAACACTTCTGGTGCCTTTGTCCTCAGATACCCCAGTGCCCACTCTGTAACATCTCTTTCCTCTCCTTTATCTGTTAATCTAGTGAACTTCAAATCTGCCAATGGCTGCTGCAACCCACTCATGTTCTCAACAACTCCCAGAACCTGAATCCCAACTTTCTTGCAAAAATTCACTTCTTTCCTAACATCAATCAGAGACACCTGCTGTGGAGTGGTTACAATGATCGCACCATCAATGCCAGTTGCTTGAAGGAATTGGACGATTGAGATGTGCTCATCAGAGGTACCTGGGGGAGCATCCACCACTAAGTAATCGAGTTCCCCCCAGTAGACATCCTTCAAGAATTGCTTGATGATCCCATTCTTACGGGGGCCCCTCCAAATGACAGCCTCATCTGGGTGAGGAAGCATGAATCCAATGGACATGACCCCAAGGTTGGACTCCACATAAACAGGTGACCAGCCAAGGTTACTCTGGTGGATGTCCTGGCCTTCTAGACCAAGCATCTTTGGGATACTTGGACCACATATGTCAATGTCAAGGAGGCCAACCTGGTAATCCATACTGGCTAAAGCGAAAGAGAGTTGGGCTGACAATGTACTCTTGCCAACTCCACCCTTCCCAGATAAAACCAGTATCTTGTGCTTTACAGTAGCCATCCTCTCAGCAATTGCAACCAAGTCTGCAAAAAAAAAAAAAAAAAAAAAAAATGAAGAGAAGAGTAAGTCATGTCGAAAGATGCTTTTTATTTCCTTTTGGTGGCTGTGACATATAGACATGGACCTTTTACAAGAAAGATCCTACAGCAATTTGAGTACAACATCTAATCAGCTATTTAAGCGAAAGAGAAGGAATCCCTTTCTCTAATAGTTTGTGATGATAATCTGAATGAAACTTCAAACAGATGCCATAGCATTCCATATTTTGGCCAAGTATTCATTTGGCTCCACCATCTTTGCTGATTTATTGATGTACAAGAGCAGAAGTCATGAGATTCTAAAGTTTATCTAGATGTTGGGCCTTTTCGTACATCGTTGCACACAAACTTTTTCTTTCAAGTTTTTTGATTACTTGTAAAAAGGATATGACATCAAATAGACATCAAAACTTGATTTGAAACCTTTGGGGCTCTGCTCTTACTGATAAAATTGTTACTTGTTTTTTATGAGTTGCATGGGGAGGTTGCAGCCTTAGAGATTTGTTCCCAGTTTTGTTGTTTATCACTTGTAGTTCCTTTTTTTGGATTCATTAATGTATTCTCTTTGATCTTGTCCAAAATCTTGTTAACATACATGGATAGATAGACAGACATTGTAAACCTTAATTGTTTATATGTATCAAGGATTTCATTTCCTTGATACATTTTAACACATTTGCTAACCAAACATTCTTGCCGCTATGTATTTTTTCCTGTCAATGTTTTAATAATTGAGAAGAGCAGGGTCAATTCTGTATATAAACTTCCTTTTTTTTTTCTAGTAGCATTCTGCAAAAGATGAAATAACCCAATGCACTACAACCCAAGACTGCAAGTTATTCTCTCTGCCTAGGCTAAATCAGCCATATTATTGACCATCCTAGAAAACTAAAGAATGTTTGCTCAAAAGGTCCTGCATCTATTTGTTCATGTAAGAAGGTTTCATAACCCATGATAACACATTAATAGAATCCATCTGAACACGAGACAATCACGAGACAACTTTTGGCCCCATTGACCAGGTAAAAAATGGCAAAAACCAGAAGTGAGGCCTTAATTTTATTTGATGCCAGAGAAACTTTAGCCACTCATTGGAATGCTATATCTTGTCTTCTCCTAGTCTTCCGTCATTTTATCAGGTATGATGTTAACTCTGGAAACAAAACAAGATTTTGGGAAGACCTTTCGTCCTTTTTAAGGAAAAATACCCTATGCTCTGTTCTTTATCATCCTATGAAACCAAGCAGGTGTCCCAGGTTCGTACGTATCTGGTGTATCAATACTTTAAACCTTGTTGGCAACGGATAAAGTTTTGTGAGAGGTAACACCTGTGGGATGCTTGTAATGCCTATTCTCTTTGATTTTCAATAAATTCTTTGTTTGCTTATCAAAAAAAAAAAAAAGACAAAAAACATGTGGCCAACAGCATCCTCAATCTCTCCCTTGTTATGAATTATCAAACCAAGATACCAGAAAAGGTCACATTGAGTTATCTCATTGGCCTCCAGTCCTAAGTATGCCTTGTTTTTACTCCTATTATCATCAAATTGGGGAAAGGGAGGCCATTATACAGAGAAGCTTCAGATCCCTGCTGTACCAATTGTTGTCTCTCTTATTTCATTTAAGAACTGGTCCATTCTTCCATGAGCTTGGTCCTTTTTCTAGACTGGAAACGGTAACTTTCATTAATAAAACAGTTAGATACAAATGTGTCAACCACTCATAGCATGAGTGTTGACCCCATACAAAACTCAAGTCTTACAATACAGCCCAAAACAAGCTTTCCCTGTGAGTCTCCCCTGCTTTGCCAAGTTATCAGCCACAGAATTGGCTGATCTCCTCACCCATTTGAACATCACTCCCACTTCTCTTGCTAGGCAAAGTATTTCCCTCATTTGTTGTCTAAGTGTCCATGCACCCAAGTTTTTTGCCTGCAGACATCCTATTAGAAGTTTAGAATCTCCCTCTACCTCAAGGTTTTGATATCCCCATTGCTTGGCCAATCTCATACCTTGAAGTAGAGACATAACTTCAGCCCTTAAGGAGTCTCCCACGCCTATTGGGCCAGAATAAAGTGCTTGCATTCTGCCCTCCCCATCCCTGAAAACTCCCCCAACTCCAGAAGGCCCCGGGTTTCCCAAAGAGCTTCCATCAAAATTCAATGTAACTCTTTGTTGTGCTGCAGGTATCCAATGGGGCTGAACCACATTTTGTGCAGTTGAAGGGTTAACCACTACTGACCAACCCCTCAGGATATCCTCATCTGAGACACTTTTGAACAGCTAAGTTGCTTTCAGCTAATGTATGATCCTAACAACTATGGAGCCAATGACTTGCTCCTTAGTTCTTTCCACCAGGATATCCTCCATGAGCTTGGTCATAGCTTGAAAGAACTCGTTCAGAAGTTCAGAGCTGGACCTAGTTCAAGTTTAAGAGAAGATTATAATGATAAAACAAAGCTAGCCTCAGCCAACCCCTAAGAAACCCTCAATTTACAGATTGTTGTCTTGTTGCCCCTTGTTTAGCTAGCCCATCTGCTAAACAGTTAGCACTTCTGTACACCCAAACTGCCTTAGCTCCCAATTCTTGCATTAAAGATCTAGATTCCCTTAACATGTGCCTATACTTACTGGATTCCCTCAACATGGAATCCAGAAAGTTCAACCCCTTTTCCTTTTCTTTTTCACTTCTTTCTTTCTTTATTTTTTCTTATAGGAAGATTGACCTTTTTTTCACTAACCTAAACTCTATTACTTGCAAAAATATAGTACAAGGGTAACATATAAAGGGTTTGATTTATATACAAAAATATGCCTAAGCAACCCCAATCTTAGTAGATCAGAACCCTATCTACCATAGTCAAAGCAATTTTTACATATACTCATTCTCCTGAGTACAGATCCCCAAAATTATTGACTTATTTGAACTCCTTGTCTAGTTAGAGCATCAGCTAGGCTGTTTGGCAAACTTCTTCATCCACATCCACTTTGAATGAATTATCAATTCCCTTATAAAATTTTTTGCATCTTCTCAAAGTATTCTTGTATTTGCATGTGCCTTCCATTCCTTGCTTTCTTTTAACCATACCACTACCACCTTGGTATCTCCTATGAGCATCAGATTGACAAAACCTACTATTTTAGCCATTTCCAATCCCTGTAGAGCTTCCAAAAGTTCCACTAAATTTCCATGCCCTATCGGCCCCATATTTATGCATAATATGTGACCTTAAAGTGAAGTCTTAGTCCCCATTATTCATCATCCTTCATCCACAATGTCAATGAAAAGAATTACTTGGACTGAATTAGCCCTAAAAGGAATAACATTTAAAGCAGAATTTTCTCATAAAGAAGGTCAAATAGAAACGGTACATAAAATTTCTTTGCCAAAGATCAGAAAAACAGATCAAATTTTAGACTGTCAATCATCTAAAGCTCTGGAATCAGGACCACCATGGATATTGTATAATGTCAAATTTCAGAAAAGCAATGCAGAATCATAACCATATTTTTTATCCTAGGGAGGCAGGATGCACCAAATCAAGCAGAACATCCAAGAGGAAGTCACGAATATTGCCCAAGCTGTACTAGCGTTTAATAGTCTATCAGGTAACATGAAAGACCCAAAGGAGGACAGGGGTTGACATTGGATTGGTACCATCTGGAAGGTGGAAAAGAAAAAGGAAAATACAGATTTTGGAATAACCAAAGCAGATAAAGGGAAACATTTGAAAACAAGATCAGGGAGAACAAATTGATATTCCACATGATTAGATAATCATTCCTAATCTCTTAAACCCTTGCTCAAGAATATGAGGACCTACTACATTAGGTAGCCTAGGTAGGGTTGTCAACGGGTCAGTCTGGGCCAAGTCAGGATAGAACTGGATCAAACCCAATAAGAAATCACAGACCTTACTCCTAAAGCCTGGTTTGTTGGAAGTGTAGTTTCATTTGCACTGATTCAAAAATATGGGAGTGCAAATGATATATGAGCAAATAGTTATTTATTTTTGTTTTAGTTTTTGCCCTATTTGTTCATTTGCATTGCACATGAAGTGAAATAAAACCTAAAGCAAAACCCAAAACAAAAAGTAAACCAGAATATGCATTATTCTCCTTTGCACTCCCATGCATTTCTACTATTGCAAGCAAAATTGCATTCCAAACAAACAGAGCCTAAGTATTAGATCCAGAATTGACCCTACTATTAATCGGACTTACTTGGCTGATCCAATTATACTTGACATGCCTTTAGTTTTGATATTTTGACATTACACCTACTAATATTCTTGCTCTCTCTTCTTAAAGTATCTTAATATATCCCCTATAAAATGATAGTTCTACACACACTTAATCAGGACAGAACAGGTATCGTCCAATTATGGTTGGAAGTTAAGGCCCAGACCAAGACCCTAAAAAGGTTAGGTCAGGTTGGACCAGCCACTGGCAGACCTAGGCCTAGTTCACGAGCACCTCTAGCCATTTTTTCCCTATATTTTACCCATTCACTTCTTCCCTTTTAAACAAAAGCTTAAAATGGATATCTCCACTCTACCTTTCATTGACTCCCAAGCTTTTCAATACCAATTGCTCCCAAATTGCTCTAATTTCCTCTACTTTTCCTCATTTATCTCACTTCATTTTCATCTCTCCCCAGCTCTCTGTGTTCAAACCAGAAACATTACTTTTTGTTTATTTGTAGGTACAATTACACTTCTTAAATAAACAATGTCTTCTCTTCTCTTTAATCACATGGCAATTTGTGTATGCATCATCTCTGGGTGCTGTGAGATGCTATTACTCACATTTATTCTTCTGACATGTGGATTTGATGGCTAATTTTTTACAAAAGGTTTATCTTGTTAGTGAAAAGGGTAATAAGATTGATGCTATTAGGTAAAACACCAAAGGACAGGCCGGAGGATGAATATGAACTTTTCTTCGTCAGCAGGATGGTAATCAAGTTTTTGTTGTACTATTTTCTATGAGGAATTTTTACATTACATCTTCCCTGCTCAGATGAACTATAATTTAACATTATCTCTTTTTCAAGTGTTATCTTGTACCTCTCTGTCTATGTTCCTACTATATACATAATAAAAAATCTTCCTTTTTCATTGGTGATTTTCTTAGCCTCTCTATAGAACTCAATGATAAAGGAGGTAGCTCTTGTATCGCATTCCATGACAATCAATATAATTCCAGTCTCAAAACTTTGATAGGTGTTGCTTTATTCTGTTCAAATAACATTGGCAGTAGAATTTGAATTAAACCTCAAGAATTTCAACTTGACAGATGAGTCTAACTTTGAACATGCAACTGCTTGATTGCAATTTCTCTTGACTCATTCCATTCAGAAACATAACTATAGACTTTGGTTTGCAGTTTGCATTTTTTTTCTTGAGCATTTACTTATGGTTTTTCAAAATTCAGATGCTAAGCTTCAGGTGTTCAATTAGATAACTTTTCCCTCTCAGCATGCTCCCCTCTGCTAGTACAAACAAAACAAAATTTAGAGGAGCTGTATCTTCAAACCCTACAGAAATCTAGAATTCTGAAATAAGACAAGGAATGCCGCAGCCCAAGTCCTGACACTTAAATGTCCATCGGGAAGCTTCAAAATATCAGATTGAAGTACTTCATCCAAGTTGAGGCATGGTTGGGAAGTAGTCTACTTATGCATTACTTCACATGCATCTCATTAGCAACAGTCTTCAATTTCGAATTATGAGTTTTTCAATTTCAAAATGCTCGTACATTTTTTTTGCATATTATGATTCCAAAAGGTTCAGTTGGATTTACTGTAAAGGAGCGGAAATCTCTCGATCTTCAAAATTTATGTTACATGTTTTGCCTTTCTTAGGCCAAAACTTAGTTTCCCGCCGCTTTACAAGGAAAAACGCTCGGCTAAAGGAGATAGTTGGCAGACAGAAGGCCTAACTTACCACATAAATATCCATGATGTACTTCAATTTTGTATTTCTTCTAATCAAACTTTGATCGTAATCACTAAAATCCTCAGGAAAACTACGAACAGGGAAGGCGAAACAAGGACCCACTAAACAAAACTATTCTAAACTTTTCTAACAACTGCAAGATGAAGAAAATCCAATTAAACACGTCATGACACAGGGGGAGGAGAGGAACCTGGGTCGGGCCCTTTTGGCACAGTGGCACAGATTTGTTGATTCGGGCATCCTTGGCACGCATCCGATTTTCCTGCAGACTCTGACTGAGGGCCTGGGCAATCTGCTTAATGAAAATTAAGTCAGAACAACAAAAAATGAAAAAAAAAAAAAAACAAGCATGAAAGCAGCGAACAGAAAGAAGGCGTTTCGTGAGCACCAAGCAAACAAAAACAAAACCGAAAAATTTCTTTCTTGGAGGGAAATCTAACTGGAGAAAAGAGAAACTAAGAAGAAAGCATACGTTCATTGGCGTTTTCAGGGATTTCGCCATAACCACTCTCCATTGCTTCGCTTTCACTTCTCGCGGAAAGATACCAATGCCTTGTTGCCTTAATTCGCTTCAGGAAGAAAGTTGGGTTTTCTGCATTTTAATTCTTTGCATTAATCAATTGACTCAAAAGCCCTTATGTTTGTAACTATATACTCAAAGAGTGAGGGATTATGCAATGGTCTTGGACATTGTAATGAGGGTACTTTAGTCAAATAATTTTTATAGACTCTTTCATTGCCCCATTTTACCTTACCCGGGCAATTTGACTCTTACGAGTTCAATCATCAACTTACGCACACGGCTCTTTCTGAGTTTGGAAAGAGACGGTGCGTTCGCGCTCTCACCATCTGTTTGTTAGAAGTTCCAAGACGATGTTCCCCCAAGTTTTGATTTGAAGCCGTCCATTTATAAGTACGGTGGTGTGTCTGTGTTGGCTCGGGTGGTAAGAGCAGACAATGGGACTCAATTCAGTGTCTTCAGCTCAACCCAGAACTGCCTGTGATTTTAATGGATTTTAGCATCACCAGCACCGCCTGCTGAAAAGCTTCCTTCAGGTACAGAGAAACTACTCTTTTATGATTCTTCGTATTTATTCTTTTAGGCCCTTTTTTTCTATATTTATCCACTTGTTCATCCTTTAGCTGCCGCAAAGGGAGTGGGGAGTGAGAATGCAGTGTCTCAGTCTCATAAGCTTCGTGCGGAAATTTGTGCACAGTCATTAGAAGACTGCTGTGATCTAGTTAGGGCTCCATACGAATTACTAGTTAGGAATTTGGGCGAATGAAACGTTGGCTGATAAGAATATTCTTGGGTTAAGGACTTACTTTTTCGCTGTATTCCCTGAATCTAGTAGTATTCTTTCCTCTGAGTGGGGGTAAAACATCTGTTTGCGTACGTCTACTGGAGTGATATTGTGCCATTTCTAACTTCATGCCCCCACCTTTTTTAGTTATTATTTCGGTGAGTATTTTGGTGTACCTCCATTATGGGCAAACAGACCAGTTGATCAACATATATCATATTTTCATATTTGGCTTGCAATTTGCGACAGATTTTTTCCTTTTTTTTTCAGGATTCTATCTTTATAATATAATAGCATGTATATTTTCCATTTCTAAACTAGGTTTCTTTATGTTAGTGATGGCCAATCAGAGAAATGGATGTTTAGTTTTATATACCGTTAACTTGTCATTAAGAAGTCTCTAGTTTTATGTCATGGATATAGTCATTCAAAAATAGTTATCTTCTTTACTAGTGGGAATGCTCAATGATGTTAGACAAGTTTTTATTCTGGTCTTTCATTGATTAATGATTATCTTGGAAGTTGGAACAGCACCAATCAACTATCCTCTTTTTGTTTGTTTTGGTGTAAAAGGGTAGAAAAGCAAAATTTTCTGCCTTCTTCCCTAACAATGAGAAGGGGCAGGGCAGGATGTTTAAAATTTTATTTGAACTCTCCTGTTACATTCAAATAAATTCAAATTTAGGTTTTAACTTCTGCAACTAAAGTAACATTTTTGTGCTTTATTCTCTTACAATGGGAAGGGGTGGAAGTTTTATTCCAACTCTCCTTTCACATTGAAATAAATGAAGCCTTGTATTCGGTAGCTGCAATTGCAAGATTCTTTAAAAATTTACTAGGTTGGCTTAAAGATGATCCTAGTAGAACCTTGCCTTTGGTGGTTAATGGCTTCAAACTTGAAAGCAAACAATGTTTTCAAACTGCAGTTGCACCATCTAACCTTTACACTGTTTCTGATGTGGTGTTCCCAAATCCCAAAAACACAAGCACATAGAAAAATTAAAATTACAACCAGGGGAACAATGATTTGGGAAAGATTTGAGTGGTAGCATATGGTTCACGTTAGTAGGCTTTTTTCTGTGTTGATACAAATACCTTTGACCTATTACCTATTGTAGTTTATGAGAGAGAATGCTACTACCTTCTATGAATTGTTTTTGTTTCCTGTGCAGGATCAGCCAACAGAAGAAAATTGCCATCAATAAGCCAATTCACTCAGCAATGACTTGCACTTGTATGACCCTATTTCAGATAGTCAACAAGACAGCAGTGCCATTGACCCTGAGTAAAAGATATAGTAGTGACTTTGCCCGGAACAGTACCATCTCCACCCCTTTGGTGGCTCATACACCAGCTGGGCTCATCCTCCGTGCCCCCTCGCCATTGGTGGTGACTGCACATGTTACCCCTTCAAATGCCCCACAGCGCTCAGAAGAGTGGTTTGCACTCCGTAGGGACAAACTAACCACAAGCACCTTCAGCACAGCTCTGGGCTTTTGGAAAGGTAACCGTCGTTCTGAGCTCTGGCATGAGAAAGTATTTCCAATGGGTGTTGAAACCATTGCTACTGCTGCAAGGGCTGCCATGGAGTGGGGTGTGCTCAATGAATCCACTGCAATAGAGCGTTACATGAGCATCACAGGTCGTGATGTTAGTTATCTAGGGTTTGCGGTCCATGCAGAGGAGCAGTTTAAGTGGCTTGGTGCCTCTCCTGATGGACTTCTTGGATGCTGCCCTGGGGGTGGGATACTAGAGGTGAAATGCCCATACAACAAGGGGAAACCTGAACTTGGTCTTCCTTGGTCAAATATGCCATTCTACTACATGCCTCAAGTGCAGGGTCAGATGGAGATCATGGACAGGGATTGGGTTGATTTGTACTGTTGGACTCCTAATGGGAGCACAATCTTCCGTGTGCATCGTGACCGTGGATATTGGGAGCTGATACATGGGATTCTGCGGGAGTTCTGGTGGGAAAATGTTGTCCCCGCCAGGGAAGCTTTATTGCTTGGGAGGGAGGAGGATGCAGTGGCTTACAAGCCAGCATCTACACACAGTCAGACAGGATTAGCCATAGTCAAAAGCATGAAACTAGCTGCTCAGGTAAAGTTGGTGTGTAGGGAGATTGCAGGTCACGTAGAGTTTTACAGATGATGGGTGATCAGTGGAATTGTGACCAACATTTTCATCATTCCGGGCTTCTAATTCAGGGTTTGTTTAGCTCTGCCTTTACAACAGTCAACAGCATGTATTATCTGGCCTCATTGTACATTGATGATTTAATTAGGATCTGGGATCTGATTTCAAGTGAAAAGAGAATTCATTCTTTTCATAACTCATCATCTCTGAATTCTAATTGATATTCAGTCCATTTCATGCAATGTGTTCCGGTTCTTCAAAGTTCAAACTCCATGGATTATGCATCTATAGATGCTCCCCCATTAAAGGTTGTCCCACAAACTGGACGCAGGTGCTACCCACGGATTTATTGGAATGACAACGGTTTCAGTAATCTAATGAAACCAGCGTCTCCCGCCTCCGAGGTCAATCCAACGGTCATTAAATAGATTGACCACTCTCTTGATTAGATCTTAGAAGCAGACCCTCTGCCCCGCAATCCAGCAGCGGATTAAAATGTTTGTGGGCTTTTCTATGGGATGGGGCTTAGGTCTTGTTATAACGCAACGATGATGTTTATGGTCTAACTTTATAATTTAGAACGTGGGCTGTTACCCAAAATAAGAAATAAAAGAGCTGTCGTATATAAATGCAATAAACAATAAATAAGGAATATTATCAAACATCCCCAGATCCCCTATTAAATTAAAATTTTAAAATGGGCTGAAACTTTCCTTTGCCTTCGCACATTATATAGTTGACTGACCAAAAAGAGATCTTATTCAATAGTCGAAACCGTGTCTTGTTTGCCTAGTGTTCAGAAATGTTAAGCCCCTTGGTTTAAACTGATCTCATTTACATGTCCGACTCTCAAGATGTCACATTGTATTGGAATAATTATTCAATTCAGGCACAAAGGTCGTTTAGATTGTATATAGCTACCTGGGAACATAAAAATCACTGTAATAGTATCTTGATTCTTGAAGCATATAAATATAATATTACAGACTCCATTCACTTGGAAATACTAGAATTATTGCCATGTAGAAAGACATTGCGGGCTCCATCCGCGATTCTGCACAAGTTACATACATAGCCGCTCCTGAATGGACATGGCGACATAGGGGGTCTGTCTAATGCCAGCCACCTTAGCCAAGAGTCATGGCTTTTTTATATTCTCAACAAAGCAGGAAACCGCTACCATCTGGAGAACTAGGCATAACAAAAACCACAAATTAGCCCAATCTCCAGACAAATAGAACATAACCCTTAGTCATATAAAGCCTCTGATTTAGACTTGTTCTTTAACCACACTGCATGCTGCTGCTCGGTAGCATCTTGCGCTATACCATTCCATTGCCGGCTGCTGCAAAGGTGACAGGCAATGATCCCCAACAGCCCAACTTGACCAGGCAACATAGAGGTCACTCTCCTGTATGCATACTCCATCAGTAACAAACAAATGCCTGCAGAGATGGATGGTATGATGGCAGTACAACTGTATATAGTGACAAGACGCTTCAGAGCTAAAGATAATTCAGTACTTTTTCCACTTGATTGCACCTTCTCAAGTCACCTCCCCTCCTCAGTCCTCACAGACAATGCATATAAATCACCCTCCTAATTCACCGGATTCTATTAAAGCATGTTCTCATGACAACAATCAATAGGCCAGGAGAGTATCTCTTCTTTTGAGCACATTCCTGCCTCACTAGCATTACATTTAAAAAGCTCTCCTTTACCTTCTTCTTCCTTTCCATTCCTTTTTGAGTATCTTAATTTTATGTTTTCTCCTTTTTTTTGTGTGCGTTTTTTTAGTAGAAAGAATAGCATCCTTGGGTAATGCTGATATAATTTAGCCATGGAAGCCATGGTCCATCAGCCTAATGCAAAACCCAACATGAACCTGCTGACTCAAAACTCTGCTATCAGATGGACAGAATCCACACCATGCGACTGATTTCCATCTATCTGGCATATATGTTGACTGCAAATCAGACACTTTCGTCCAACATCAAAATCTGACATTCATATATAGTGCCACTCTCTAGCCACAAAAGCGAAGTTGGTACCTTGACTCATGGTGGAAGATGGTGTGCTTTGAGGAGGGAGTATCCTTTTCCTCCTGCCTCTCTTGGCACTTCAGCAGTTTTTTCCAACAGTCTGAACATAACAATTCCAGACAGAATGTCTCCTCATATTCGCTATCATTTATGCACCTCCCACACTGGACACACCGTGCAATGCAGAATATGCATGCCCTGCACAACTGAGTGGTTGGCTGTTTACTTTGGCAGCCTTCTGCTGGGCAATCATAGACTAGCCTCAAGTTCTGGCATCTTGGACAAATCTCAATATCAATGGCACGATCATCATCACTAGTAATAGACAAGTACCCATTGTGATAAAAATGTGGTTTTTGAGTTTTAGGCTGTGGACAGTTTTCTGTGCCCAGTAATAACTTCAACTCTTCAAAATGCTTATGTGTTACACCATAGAGGCCACCAATTCTTAGGTGCTTTATTCCAGGCACACCTGAAGACTTGAAAGCCTTCAAGTTATATACAATGCCCTCCACACTGAGTCTTCTACATCTAGGCACACTCAGCTGCATGAAGACAAACCAAAAACATGTCAGACTGTCAACAAAAGAACAGAATACCAAGACCAAAACATGAAGACAAACAAGACATTAAGTACTCTATGGGGATATTGATGTCACCAGAAATGCAACCTATTAATCTGTTTTCAATAGCATCTTCTCCACAACATCCTCATCTACGATGAAGTCATTTAGTTCTTAAGAAAAAATGGAAATGAGTTCGTTTAAAGTAATTAAATGACTTTTTTAAATCTTAACAACCAGAAATAGTTCCATTTTAAGTAGTGAGCTTTTGTTCTCCCGAATTTGACAATACACTTTGCTCTTGTGTGAATTCCTACACACCTAACAATTAGGGTATGTTTGGTTTGAAGGAAAAAGGTAGGGAAACCTATACAAGGTTTGTAAAGGTTTCCCTACCTTTCCTTTCTTTTCCCTACTTTTTCCTTCAAACCAAACACAGCCTTATTGTCAAGTTTCCTGGTCCAAATTTGCACCATATAATTGAGAAAACTAATTAATAATCAGAAAGAGAGAGAGAGAGAGAGGAAGCACATAATTCCCATGTTACAAAAATAATATGTCAAACACATATTATTTCACAACATCTTATCTTTCAGGAAATAATTAATTGGTTGCTAGCCACTCTGACAAACTATTCAGCTTCAAAAATATGCAAGAACACCTTGGCATCAAAGGTTCTAGATCAGATCTAAAAATATGCTAGGTTCTTTCTTATTAATAAAACATTCAAGCATCATGAACCACAAAAACTACCAACATTTTTTTCTTAAAAGTGAAAAAGGTATCCATTAAAAAGGGGAAGGAGAGGTTTCTATACATCATGAACTGGCCAGCTCAAAGCTTGAAAAGTGACTATAACTATAAGAAGTTAAAGAAACCAAAGTGTTTCCCTCAAAATCAAGTTCAACAGAAGCAGAGAGGGGCAGGTAAGTTTTTGTATAAGACAATGTGTGCCATTATGACAAGGAATATCATATAGTTATGGTTAGTTGGTCACTACATTCTTCTACTTTTGATTGATTAGTATTCACATAAGATAATGTGCGCTAGGCTCCATGATGACAAGGAACATCATATAAATACAGAACAAACAAGATTCAGGGAACTTAATATCAGAAATATAATTGATTTAGTGCAAAATATCAAGATGTTTGTGCAACAAACCTTTGTTAGTCTTGGATTGCTTCCAAGCACACGTTTAAGTCCATCATCTGTAATCCTTGGACACTCCACCAGGCTCAAGCATTGTAAATTGCCTTGAGCCCTATTAGTTAGCTGCAAAAGAACATCATCAGTTATCCGTTCGCTAAGTGGCTGATCAATGTGAATATTTCTCCAGAGAAAGGAATCACTTTCAACTGCAGATCGCAGCATTCTGCAAACGCTTCCAGCAGAAAGGAGGTCACGGACACCCAAATAGCTCAGTGCATAAAGCAAAGCCTCGTGTGGAGCACCACCAGCTCCGTCAGAACAACTATCAGTACCCTCTGTTGATTCTTTGGCTTGATGACTAGCAGGCCAAGCATCATCTCCAAAACTCAGGAATTCGTCCATATTGCATACTGACACAAAGCCACCATCACATGATCCATCTTCAGATTCCTTCTCGTAAAGTGTTCCACCAAACTCACCGCATGGATTTGACCTCTCATCAATCCATGCGTTCCCTGGCTCCATGTGAAATTTCATGGCCTGGTTCCAGATAAAATTCAATCCAGCAACCAATTGATAATCTCCCTTCCTTGCCCAGGCTTCATCCCCTCCATAATTGTCAGAATCCGCTTCAAAATCCTCAATCCAACCAGTGATGGCTGTAAAGGTAGCACTTATTTCCATGCCAAAGGGATCTGATGGCAAAAGGTCCAGAATATCATTGGAAATTGGCTCACAAGAGCCTCCTCTGTCAGCTCTATCCCTTGTGTAATCATAGGAATTCTCAAATTCCCAGTTGAAACGCCAGGGCTTAGCAAAGCTATCCGCACTCTTCTCTGGGATTCCCTCCACAACGTACCCGTTAGCAATTCTAACTGAAGAAAGCAAATTGTCTTCTGAAGGAGTAGTAGCAGGAAAGATAGGCCGGTGAGAAAAATTCAAGGTCATACTAATTCACTATATACACTCTAACCAGATAGGTCTTTCTTCCAAACTTCCCCCAGGAAAAGAAGAGTATACCTAAAACGCCAAATCCTACCGGTTGATATAGGTATTCTAGAAGAGATAAAAAGGGAATGAAATAGAACGGAAGTATGGAACCTAACCCTAGAAAGCAAAACAATGAAACCTAAACCCTAGAAGATCCGACAAGAGAACCCTCGATTTCGGATGGCAACAAAAAAACAGCACCAAAAATTTCACCGAGTTTCTTGTTCTAGGATATGAAAGCAGCTACAATTGATCAAAGAAGGAAAGAAAACGGAAACGGAAACAAAGAAATTCAAGTACCAAAAAAATCAACAAAATAATCAGAGCTTACTTGTTTCTTCCTCTTTTTTTTCCTTTCCTGCTATCTGACTTTATCAAAGCTAGGGTTAGAACTAATACAATATATGGTTCGAAGAATGGGGGAAACCGACCTTTTTCTTTGGGCGAGAACCAATACTTGTCTCCAGTTCCCAAAACAACGATGAAGATCACCGGAAACCTAGTGATACGAACTAACAGAACGGAAGAATGGAGGGATATGAATGGTAAAGAGATCTAATTGTATGAGAAACTGTCAAAAAGAATTTCATCAGATGCCGAGGAATGAAATCCGAAGGATCTTGTATTCGAATCCGAGACAAATATCAATCAATCGATTGAACGATTGCAGAGAATAAAATAAAAGAAAAGAGATAGAGATGGAGAAAAGGAGAAGGAGAAGAAAGAATGAGAGGAAACCGAATACGAGAGGGAGAGAAAGTGAACCCAGAGAGAGAGAGAGAGAGAGAGAGGGGGAGAGGGAGAGGGGGGCGGGGAGAGAGAGGGAGAGAGGAAAGAAAACTGAAAGCGCTAAAATTAGTAGAGAGAGAAAGAGGAGGGAAGGACACGTGTGGTGATTCGAGGAGAGAAGTACTCGTTCTTCGCCAGAAGATGTGGCGCGAGAGCGAGATCACCCTCTTTTGTTTTCCTTGTTTAGCTACAACAAGAAGATCTCAACTCTTTGTTCTTCTCTTCTCTATTATGTTGTTTGTTTTGTATCGTGCCCATTCCCATAATCCCATTGTCCTAATTTCTCGGCTCGGCTGACTGGCTGAGGCTCCAACGCGATTTTATATTTACAAATTTATTAGCTGCTTCAGCCGTTGGATATTGATCTGACGGTTACCAACTGTTGTTAAAGTGATTCATTAATCATCCCAGAATGATCCCACTCCCACCCACGGCATTTGAGCGTCAGCCTGAGGTGAGGTGTTTATGTTATATATGCACGTTACATCCTGCATTTCCTTCCAAGAGTTCGTGCGTGCGTGAGCATCGGATTGGATCGTTGGAGTGTGAGTTCGTTGAAATAGTAGGGTGAGGGTGAGGGTGAGGGTTGAGGGTCCCATAAAATATTCCGATTGTACCGTGACGCAGCCTCGTCGAATGGAGAGAGCTCAGGACTCGGGAATCGCGACTCTACAACTTCACTCGGGTCAGGCGACTCGACCCGAAGGACAATCCGGATTGGCTCCTCACATCACTTGCAGCCGCAGATTGGGAACATCTCCATACTTGACAATGGCGTGAGGAGCAAGAATACAAACACAAAGTCACAAACCGCTGGCTCTTTTAAGTTTTAGCCTCCTTTCAACAGATTAAATAATTGGACTAGTAATAGGTGATGTCTGTGAAGAAGACTCGATCGCCTCCATTTTTTTCAATTAATTTTAGGGTAAAAAACTAGATAATTTAAGAAGAAAGGTAGATGGATACATAGAGGAGGAGGAAGAGGGGGAGAAAGGTAGCAGATTTTGGCCGTCATGCTTACGGGAAAAAAAATACCGAGGCAAGTGATATGCCACATTAGCATGACATGTGGACCCACATGTATGGGGCTGACGTGGCATATCGTGATAGGCCTACAATTACTATTACGTGTAGGGTTTTTAAGTGTTGACTGTCAAAACGTGCCTCCCCAATATTCCATCCCTCTCCCCCCCCCCTTTCTCGCTCTGATTTTGCTTTTTGGTCATTCAAAAAGGTTCGCTTTTAGGTCCAACAACTGTTCAAGGCGTTCCAAGCAGACTGCAGAGAGCCTGCTGAAACTCTGAAAGGACAAAAATAATTAAATAAAAAAATCATAAAAAATAAAAACATGAAAACAAGGGGTGAGCGCCCAAAGAATGGATAAACAGTAGCTTTGTTGTTTCATTTTTCCAGGCCAAGAGGGAAGAGCTAAGTGGGGCCATCCTTGTCGATGGCCAAATCCCCAAATTAGATTTAGATTGTGAGAGAACTAATGTCATAAATAGTATACTACAAACTTTTGTTTGTAGGTTTGTTTATTAATTAATAACAATTATAATACTGTATAAGCTAGATGTTTGGACTTAGGCGTGCCGTTTTATTATGACTGCATATCGTTTTCCTCAACTTCTAAGTCCTGGGCTATGTCACTAAAGCAATCCTAAAAATGATTCGGATCAATAAATAATACGTCGTGCCGTCAAGAAGCTAATTCGATGCTCATGTGTGTTAGCTTGGCCGAGCCCACCGCGGGCTGGGAGGCTCAGCCCACTAATGCCTAACAGCATCAGCCACCGTAGGAGAGAGCCCTGTTGTCTTTATACGGAGCCAATCACGTGACGGTCAAACGTATCCATCAGGACCTGCAGCTTGACCTCGTATGGCTCTCATCCAAGGTGTTCATATTCACCTACCTCCAACATGCTCAAATATAAAAAGGAGGTAATTACCCCTTAAGGGGGATATGGAACAGAAAATTTCAACACCACTCACCCATTTACTCCCTACACCTACATTGTCTTCTTAACGTTTATTCAGGGAGATCTGGTGCATCCAAAGACTATCTCCAAGGCCTCTCCTGCACCTTCTCCTACTTTACACCTCGTACTAACTGGGGCGTCGAAGCCTCTGCCTCGAGTATTCGCCCGATGCCTCTGGCATTCCCTGTCTTGTAGTATCTCTAGTCACCAAGGACTTCACCTAGCCTACAGTCCTCGGCTACCATAGTCCTCGAAAGGAATATCTTGCCTCGGCTTGCGGTCCTCAGCTTCAGCCCACCTCTTCCGAGGCCTCGGGGTCCTCAGCCAACACTCAAAACTTGAAGAGTAAATTTACCTCATTGCCCTCAGTCAATCCGTGCGGCAACAGATGCAATGAACTAGATCCTATCATTCTTTCCTTCTTCTTTGTATGGACCAAAGACCTCATCTTCATTAGACCTGTTCATGGGCCGGGTGGTCCGACGGGCTGGCCCGGCACCCGGACGGGCTTGAACACGCATATGGGCCTGCGGGCTTAACCTCGGGCCAAAAAGCCCGGCCCGACCTATAACTAAACCTAAAAATCCTAGTCGAAGACCCCTTCTTTCTTTCACCTCTTTGCCTCTTTCCTTTCTTTTTCTAGTCGAACCATTCTTCTCCACATCCTCCACAGTTCTCATCCTCACACTCTCAGGCAGCCACACAACCGGCAAAGCGGCGAACGTTCACCGGCACAACAACTCCGGCGGTGAGTCCTCTCTCTCTCTCTCTCTCTCTCTCTCTCTAACGCGAATTAATCACTGTTAAACTTAAAATCGCATGTTGCAACTCACAAACCACAGCCACCGCGAACTCAGTTCCAGCGAACACAATCGGGCTTCGGGCTTTTTATCAGGGCCGGGCTCGGGCCCAAGTTGTAGGTCCGTTGGTCGCCTAACAAATTTTCATTAATGAAGAATAAAAGCCCAACCCGGCCCATGAACAGGTCTAATCTTCATAAACTTGTACGGTCGAGCATCAAGATAGAAAAATGTGAGTGAGACTGAGAAGGCGGGGAGGACGTTTCGTTTTGTTAAGTAGGGGGGTCACCGGGTCAGTTTATTTTGATAAAAGGGTGGGCATATTTGTCTTTTCATTGGGGATTCCATTTCCAGCTTCCCTCGTTATAGTCCCTCAGTCCTCTCCTGTTTTTTAGTTCCTTCAAACAATCGTCGATATTCGGTCAATATTCCAGATTACCAACGAGAAATATCTCGCCGAGATGCCCTTAATAAAGCAAGTTGAAATAGAAAGGGTGTCAAAGGCAAACCTCAATTATCTTTCTTTGCTTAAATTGTAAACCTCCGATTAGTAGTTGATTGAACCCAACGCCAACCAACCGATCAAGTTGCGATTGAGATTAGTTTTTATTTCAAGCGCAACAGATTGAATCATCACCAAGGGAGTCATGTAATTGGGGCATGGATTTAATGCTTTGAGTTTGTAGGCAGTTTGGTTCAAGGAGGGGAAGAAGAAGAATAAGGGTGCAGCAAGGAAGAGATGGGTGTGTGTGTGGTTGAAATCTTAAAGTTGAATGTAGGTAAGGTGTTCGAACATATTCCTGAGTGACCCACCTCTTCAAGGTTTACTTCCTTACGCTACCTACGAGTCCTGTCCTGCTTCACCATTTATACAACTACCCAACAAGAATATTGTGTTGGCTTAGATGATGGGCAGCTCTACGGCTCTACCTAAAATTCCTTTGGCTTTTAAGTTTGGAATGTAGACTTATTGAACGGTTAATTGAAAAGGCAAAACATTTGGTTTTCTTAGACAGTTAGACCTATAAGAAATAATTAAAAAGAGAGGAGCTTTTCTCAGTTCCTCTCCAAGTAAACGAATGATATCATTTTTTTATGGGGCCCCCTCTGGTTCTTATGGTAAGCTTCTTATGGCCTTACCCCAAGAAAGGCAATTCTTTTCAAAAGAACATAATTGAACGAACAAAGATGCATCAAGTATAATGAGAAACCAAGGAGTTCAATGGTTAACCTGTATGGCATCTCGGAGCTAAACTACAGCTGATTCTTTACCTTTGACAAAAAATGGTAAAAGTAAAATCCATTCTGCTTAGGCAGTGAGATATTGAATACTTGAATACCACCATTGTCAAGCAGATCATAGCAAAGATTAAATCATGGCACATACTGGACCCAAATTCCATCACCAATTACCATTAGATTGATGAAATACTTATATTTCTAGAGGAAATCGAGCAAGGTTTAGCTGCTGTTCAGCAGGCTGTGGAACCAATGAAAAGGTTCTACGCCAGTATTTAAAATACATGGGGCCTGCATCTTTTACAGTGGGGCCCATGAATTTATTACTGGCGTGGAACCGAGTCATTGGTTTCACAGCCCACTAAACGGCTAAAGCGTTCAGTTCAGCAAATCCAAATTCATATTAGGATATCATTCATTCATTCATTTTCTCTTTTACATATTTGGGAAAGCCTCACTGATAAACTGGACGGAGCAAGATCATTTACTATTTTTTTATAGGCGAACCCTAAAATTCCTAGCTACGATTACAAGGAGGGTGAGATCCATACATAGCCGTGTGTTTGCCTGTAACCGGCTTTTGACAGCAGCACATCTGCTTCTACTGGACCACGGCTACCTGGTTTGTATGGAAGTGGCTTCAGCTCTCCATCATCAATTCTGTGCAGCAATGGAGTGAAAATCTCCCATGCGGCCTGTAGACCACAACATCACATTAGTAAAATTTTAAGCCGAGATTGTATATATAGGAGGAGATTTCAAGCCAAGCGTGGGAGGTTCTTACCTTCAACTCATCTCTGCGAACAAAATGCTGCTGATCACCTCGTATTCTGCAAAAAGAATCCGAGCCAAATTCATTGTGACAAAAGATGTAGTTGTGATGTCAATGGTCATTTTCATGGACAGTAACTCTCCTATATTTCTAATACTCCAAAAAATAAAATAAATTTATTATATAGTAACAGCTCAAAATATATGTACTTTATGAACACTATGGGTACACATAAGCATATTTAGAAGATACAAGGATTTGGTAGCATACGTGTCAAGAATTAACCGTTCATAAGCCTCAGGAATTGTAACTCCTTGGTAACGCTGCCCATAAGACAAGTCTAGTTCACTTAGTATGGTTGACATTTCCAGTCCCGGTTGCTTGACCTGCAAGATGAAGATCAAAGATGATAAAGGAGCATTCAAAGAGGTCAAACACGATAATTCTTGGTATTGGTGAACAGACAAATTTCTGATTGATGGGAAACCAATTCTCTCTGTAGTTTCCATAGATGTTATTCTTCGTAAGATAAAACCATATCATGGTGGTTAGTTTGAGAAAGCCCTATTTCTTATTATGGTGACACACCCCTAATTAATAGGACAAATATTTGAGAAGAATACCATACACAATTTATTTTCATTATCATATAAGTAAGGTAACTTGGTCACCGAGGATGTGCCCAAATTAGCTCCCCAAAATGGTAATTGAGTGTTGTTACCAGTTGATAACAACATAATGAAGTTACAGGTAATCAATTTGTACTATCACATGTTTTCGAGGAGTGGTATGATTTGAGTGTAAATACATATCATATCTTAAATTCAAGTGTCATGTATCATTCTTTCATTGAATAGAAATGCAAAAAAGTATTTACAAAGGCATGTCAAAGTCGGGAAAGGCTTGGCTGTTTGGAAAAACACAGCAGGGGCTGTTTTGAAGCTTCCTGCACATGGCACATTACCCCACTTAGTCCTTAATTTATCTTTTTAATTAAAAGAATATTGATTGAAATTACTCTTTTACCCCACACCCATGCTGATGTGTCATGCGCAAGAAGCTCCAATACAGCCAAGCTTTTCTCAGTCAGTTCAGTTAATGTAGTTTTTCAAAGGTGGATCACTCCAATTGAAGATTACTGAAGAGCTATACTAAAAGCCTCATACCTAAGATGATGGACGAACCATCAGTAAATAAACATGTGAAAGGAACATTTCCTCGGATATAACTGTCAACCAGCCCAGCTGAGCTTAACATTATCCATATCCAGCTCAAGTCAGGTTCCTGATAGCCTAAGATTAGGGGTCAGAGCTTGGCTCCTCGAGGTTTTAATGGGGCCTGGTTCACCTAAGTACCTAACTGATAATAAGCCTACTTCAGATATTTGCAAGCCCACCAACCCAGTTCTTGAAGTCACCAGAAATAATAACAATAAAATAATATAAACTAATGTTTCAAAAACTAGAACAGTCCATCCAGTTGAATCAATCAAATCAGAACTCGAGCCTTATTGTTCAAGAATAATCAGCCAGTTCTGGTGGTTTGAAGCTAAGCATGGAATTAGACCACCTTACAAAGCAAGGTCTGCTCCAGTTTTCAGGACATTGATAATAAGAACGACAATAAAATTAATGGCAATGAAGAACTATTAAGGTCATGTTTGGTTCACTGCTCTGGGCCTCATTCTTTTAATTCTTTTTTTTTTTTGAAAAATCTCATTATTTTAATTATTGCTCATTCTGGGCAAGAATGAGCAAGAACGAATAACATTAGAGTGTTTGGTTACAAAATTTTTGCCATGGGCCACATTCTTTTTAGAATGAAAAATCAGCCCATATCACAAAAATTGAGGTAGCCTGCAGCATGAAAAATAATCATGCCTCATCTTGCTCATTTTCATTCTTTGAGGAAACTCTGCCTACAAAATTGTTGCCATAGATGTGTACTAGCGGACTACCATGGAAGTACTTTTACGAAAGAACTTTTATAAAAGTATTTTTACACGAAAGCACTTTTATGAAAGTACTTTACGAAAACACTTCAACAAAAACACTTCTATGAAAGCACTTTTATAAAAGTACTTTTATGGAAGTACTTTTATAAGAGCACCTTCACGAAAGTACATTTAAAAAGTACTTTTCCAAAAGCACTTTTGCTAAAGCACTTTTATCAAAGTATTTTTATGAAAGCATTTTTAAAAAAGTACTTTTCAAAAGCACTTTTACATATGGCACTTGTCAGTCTGAAAAGATTTCATTTTTAGGAAAAAAAGTGTTAGGTTCATAGCAATATTTTCTCATTCTACTTATTTTTACCCATTTTTGTCCATTTTAGAATTTCATCTTGGATAAGAATGAGAATCAAACCAAACATGGCCTATCTATAGTAAAAGCAATCCTAGAAAAAGCAGAAACAGAACAAGCTTAGATGAGACATGTTTAGTACACAGGCTTTGCTCATAATGAGCTCAGCTTGAAAGAAATTTGAAGTGTACTGAAAAATGGTATCCACCACTAAAGCCACAATTAAAAATTTCATCAAGCATAGTGAAGATGCACATGTTTTTCAACAGAATATGCAATACTTTCTTTTCTTTCCTTTCGTTCTTTTCTTTTTCTTTTTCTTTTTCTTTTTCTTTTTCTTTTTCTTTTTTTTTTGTGAAAAAGGAGAATACCGGAATACAATTATAAGTTCATAGAAAAGAGGGAGCCTACTTATCAAAAAAGAAAAGAGTACAAATCTAATGGAATCTGAGCATATCCTGCCAAGGCTTCCATGCAGCAAGTATCAGAAAATTTTACCTTAAGGCTGCGTTTGGTTGCAGTGCAAATAAATTTGCACTGATGCAAAACTATGGCAGTACAAATGATTTGGGTGTAAAATCTGATTTTCTTTTGTTTCAAATTTTACTTTATTTTTTGTTTGATTGCAGTAAAAATGAAGTAAAAGAATATCTGAAACAGAATGAAGTAGAACCCAAAACAAAATTAGACCAAAATTTGCATTCTTTTCATTTGCACTCCCATGCATTTGTATTGGTGCAAAAAAGATTGTACTGCAACCAAACGGAGCCTAAGGCTCAGTTTGGAAGGAGTGCAAATACAAATATGTAGAGTACAAAACCTTGTATTTTGTATGTATTTACACTGTACATATGTGTAATTGTACTCTTCCCAAACTGAGCCTAAAGAACAAAGGGAGCTTTACAGGCAACTACTATAAAGAAGGTGAAGCGGTAAATTTGTATGTAATATAAAAATACTCACTGTAAGTTTCATGTACATGGCCTCTGAAGGTTGCAAGCGTATTACAAATTCATTTCTGCCCTGTCTTTTACCTATGCAAGATAAAAAATGGTGTGGATTACAAGAAGAATTGTGAACTTTAAAATTTGAAAGATAGTCCAGATATGCGAATAACAATAGGAAAACAGATTTATCACTATCAGATGACATGGATCATGAAAAAGCCATTACACTGATAGTAAAACATTTTGATTCATTAATTGATGTTGAAACTTTGCATATTGAGATCTTTGGCCTTGTCAACAAACAACCTAGATATGCATGGCTTAAAATTACATGAATTGTAAACTTAAAAAATTAGAACATGATCCAGATATGCAAAGAACAATAGGAAAACAGGTTTATCAGATGGTATGGATAATAAAGGAGCTATTACACTGATGGTAACATATTTGAATTCATCAATAAATGTTGAAATTTTTCATATTGAGATATTTGTCTTTGTCAACAAAAAACCTATTTGTGCATGGTTAAAGTTACAAGAATGCTCCTTTTATGCTTGAAGGACTGATAAGTATAGGATTACCATGTAGACTTGCCCATATTATGGGTAGATATAAATGGATCAAAATCACAATACTCACTGAACAATGGAGAAATAGATTCTCATGTGATTTGCATGTTGTAACAGATGATTACTGATTTAGAGAACTTGAGAGTGTTTGATGAACAGAAGAAAAACAATTAGATGGACTTCACTTGGAGTAAGAAAGAATGACTTGTATCGTACATCTAAAGATATCTCCTGGAACATCCTTAAATTGAACACGAATTTCTGCCTTTCTTGAATTTAATGCCTTTCCTGCCTTGAGTATAAAAGGAACACCTGCATTAGGAAGTAAGAATTTGCATGTAATGACCAATATGTGGCAAAACATAAGAGTTAAGTATTTATAATCTAATATTATGGTTATGTTAATCTAGTGCAAAGGAATACATAGACATTCTACATCTGAAATATGAGGGCAGAATTGCAGTTTATAGGTTCAAATTTCTGCTATTCTCTTTTGCTTCTGATAAGATTTGACAAAAATTTATTAAGAATAACTGAAGAAATAATGGAAAATTCAAGAAAGGAAAATCTATTAGACCTTCCCATCTTTCATTGTCAATTCGCAGAACCACAGTTGCAAAAGTTGGGGTATTTGAACTGTCAGGTACTGTTGGGTCATCTCTGTAGCCCTCATACTGTCCAAGAACAACTTCCTCAGATTTTATAGGTAGGACTGATTGAAGTACCTGAAATTTCATGTCATAATCATCAAATGGTCCATGCAATGGGCATATGTGAGATACGTAACATAAAATTCTGAAGAAAGCAATAAGAACTTCTGAAGTGTTCTTTGACTATAGGTTATAAAAGTAATAGTCCTATGAATCAAAGATATAATTAGGCTGTCTTTTAATTGTCCCAACAAAGCAACTTTTTTTTTATTTGAAAGAAAAAAGAACACTTGGTAACCACCCGATCAAAAAGCAACATAATCCAATTTTCTTGTTTTTGGTTAAAGTCAAAAAAATTGGCTTTGACTCAAAGCACAATAGTTGCTTCTACTGGAAACAGTTATTAGCAAATAGGGTAAAAGTTTCTGATGGTTTCATACGTGACAGTAAATAATAAATTGAGTTTATTATATTTGAAGTAGGATGAATTAAAATCTGGAATCAAGTGGATCCCACAAAGTTTTTTTTTTTCTGAGATAGTGCTACTAAATTTATTTTTTGTTTTTCTCTCCAAAAGTATAAAATTTTTTACAGCTTACCAAACTCAATTTGGTCTGATTATCTGCAATGGATTAAACATTTCGCTTATGCTTTTTCTTAGGTGTTCAATTGAGCACTTAAGAAAAAGCAAATCCAGAAGAGGAATGGGTCTTGTAATCTATTATTCCTGGTCAAGATATTTTTCCATGACAAGGAAATGAGTGGGAACTTTTGAACAACTATTGGAAATATGGATTTTGTAGATAAGATGAGAAATGGAAATGAAACTTGTAAACCAATTATGTTCGATACCTTCACTTTCTCATCTCTAATGTGCTCAGGTCTAAGAGAAACAGGTTTCTCCATGGCAACCAAGCAGAGAACCTACAATTGATGGGAAACAACAAGCATGTGACTTGACAGACACCAAAAAGAAACTTTTAGATTTAAGTTTCACACTGCAACTGAATATTACCAATTTATAATAGAAAAAGAGTCATTTTCAGAATAATGGCTAAGAAAGGATCCTAGAGTTACCTGCAACAGATGATTTTGAAAGATATCACGTATTATTCTGCAAAACAGCAAAAATGTTTACTTGTTAATTGAATGGGAGTACACAATCCAACAGCACAATAAGGGTTAAAATCTTTGAGAAAAATGAATCTGCCTGAATTGAAATACAGAAATCCCAAAAGTACAACAATGAATCATTTATTATAAAGAATAAATGTATGCTTGTATTGATTCCCGATTTCCATGGAAGTACAAATATTGTGAAGTTAATAAGGGTGCTGACATCTTAGCTACGGAATGTGATTCCTTTTCTAGTAATGTGCTCACAACAGGTGATGGTTTACCTATAAAGCAAACAGTTCTATTTTACTTTGTTTAATTATTATTGTTTCTTGGAGAAGGTGGAACAACTGTGACTATCAAGTGCTTTTGACAGTAGATATTTTCTTTAAAAAGTAAGCAAAAACCAAGAATTGCACACTCTGAAACTTGCAAGGATGTCACAAGAATCCAGAGCACATACCCGTACTCATCAAAATATCCACCACGTCCTTCTGTTCCAAAATCCTCTCTGAAGACGATCTGCCAAAATGAATGTAGATATTGAAATTTCTTAATAACTGCAGTTCACAATATAGTGGTCAGTTATGTTCAGGAAAGAGATTAGTTTCCTTTTGACCTGGCACTCAATTATGAATGTCAACATTCACAGATTTAGTTGTAAAGCTTGTGTAAATTGGAACTAATGTATGATGTATGCTTTGTAAGTGGTTTTGAATTTCCCATTCAAGAATAAGTTCTCTGGCCTTCCATTAATTGAAGCAAATATGGTCTTATTTGAAAGGCCCGTGGTGAGGTAAATATGGTCTTACCCCTTTACTGAACACCTTGTTCAGATGGACTCCTATATCATATAATTCTTTGGTTGATGCACTTGCCAGAGATGGAGCAGGGAGGCAGGCCCTTGACTGGAGGGCTCCTGGACCAGGGATTCATATATAGATTTGTTTTGTATTCTGAGATAGTTTTTCCACTTCTACTCTTCACATTCCCTTTATCTGAAGCTGTTTCATTCCCTACTATTACTTTTTGATAATGGGGTTCCCCTATTTTATATTAATGAAATCTCTCTGATCATCAAGTAAGATAAATAATTGTATATGCTTTGCCAGTTATGGGTCATTTCAGGTCATGAAAATTCAGGAAGGAGTGGAATTCAAATCTAACTCCACCCTCATGATCTAAATACAGTCTAAATGATCTTCAAGTATATCAAAAACAGTTACCTAAAAGATATTTACCTGTATGTTATCAATGTTATCACGATTCCAGAGAGGCAAAAAGAAACGATTTGCAAAACGAAGGACAAGCTGCAAATGAGGAGATAGTAAAGATGCTGAGCATCAGTTGGGGTGGGGAGGAATAAAGTGGACCAACAGAAATTAAACCATTTAGGGCATATATTACCAAGTTCTGCACCAATTCCTTTCCCAAGTAGTGATCAATACGATAAAGCTGTGATTCGTCAAATAAATCACCAAGCTGAGTGCTGAGTTTCTCTGCAGATTCCAAATCCTTGCCAAAAGGTTTCTCAACAACAATGCGTGTCCAACCACCATGGTTATCTGAAAAAGATGGAAATAATCTTAATCCATAACAATATACTTTCATATGTTCTGAAACAGTATTATGGCAATCTAGTCTGTAGTATATTTAGGATAGCAATAAGTTGTCACAAATAACCTACGTATGTATGTAATTAAATCTGTAGACATATAAGCATGCATTTAGTTTTGTGTTTCTGTGATGTATAAAATAAATATAAATTCCGAAGAATAACTTAAGAGATATGATAATAATTTTTAAGATATAATGCTTCTCCAATTTTATCCCTTTTAAACTATACGAACTACATAAAGCCAACATCCTAACATGGAGCCAGAATTACACAAAAAACAAAAGCAATATAAATAGTCAATAGTCACCTTCAATGTGGATCATCAATCCAAATCAAAGATTTTCTGTCCATTACAGTTTTATTCCTTCTTCCTCTTTTCAGTGACTGGATTAATTAATAGTTAACTTATATGATGAGGTGGTAATAGGCATTCTAACTCAGCATGTCAGCATGAGGTGGCCATCATGCAATGAAGAGGAAGAAAAGAAAAAAAAAAGAGTGTTCCTAATATCCAAATTGCAGGTTGACACGAACATGGAATGTAATATAATGAATTTCAAGAGAATTTTATGCATTCATCTCCATAAGGAAGACTTACATTTATTCATGCAAAAGCGCCTGATCATCTTACAGACAGTTGGATACACCAATGGAGGAAGTGCAAGATAAAAAAGTCTTTGGGATGACCCTTCCTGAATGTTTTTTGAGATTTCGTGCTTTGAGATTTCTTTATCTAATAAACGGAACCTGTCCTCAGCATCATAAGAACCACTGACATATTTGATCTGCAAAAATTGAGAAAAGCACTTGGAAGTTAGTGTAGTAGTAAATAATTCATAAATGATAAGAGGATTATGTGCGGAGAAATATCCATCTTTACCAATTGCAAAAACTTTGATACATCTTCAGAGTGTGTGTGTGGAGGACCCCCTTTTCCATGGACAAGATATCTGCAGTTAACATATCAGCAGCAGTTGTCATATGCATTAAAACAAGCAGTAAAAAAGAATCAAAGAAATTAAGCAGAAAAGAGAAGAGCATAGACAAACAGGATATAGCAGTGTGTGTGTGTGTGTGTATGACCAAGTTCATAAAGAGCAGGTACTGATCTCCCATATCAGATTAAACCAGATTTGGTTTGTAATTTGATCAACATCCCTTAAATTAAGTGGATGCCAAACAATAAGATCAACAAGTGACTATAGTTCCCTTAAGTCAACCGAAGAGATCATTTCCCTACACAAAAACATCTAGAGTAAAATTTTCACATGTGATATACGTATCACCATGAAATAACTTTCCTTGTAGAAGAGAAACAAAGAAAGAATACCAGTTAAGCACAGATAAAATAGCATAAATAGAATATGGGATAAGAAAATTGCATAAACACCAGAGGTAAGAGATCTCACCCACGTATGCGGGCTCTCAACTCGTCATCTGAAATCTTGGTTCTAGCATATCCAAAAATATGAACACCACTTGATTGTAGGAAACCCTATGTAAAGCCAAAGTAAGATTAGTTCATGAACAGGAGAATCATGCACATAATTCGAATTTAACCTAGCAACCCTTCTAGAAATGATCCATCATTTTGTGGATTTGGACTTGCTTCCTGAACGAGTAGAGAAGATGGAACCTCTCAAAGTTAAGTAGGAATAGTGATAAGTTATGAGTATCGCTATGGCAGTCAGTGGAGGAAATTAATCATCCATGAGCATATTCCATAAAGAGTTTATTTAGTCATATTGTTTCCAAGAAGCGATTGCATGGGAATATTTATCTGGCTCACAATAAGCAATATAAATATTTGAGCTCTCAACTAAATGACATGGATAATGATACATGGAGAGACCCTAGTGAATGAGAAAAAGCAAGTATAATCCAACAAACCTGCCGGTACAGATTGAAAAGGGCTGGAAATGTCTTCTTTTTTGCAAGGTCACCAGAAGCACCAAGCACAATAATGGAGAGGCATCCAGTTTCCAGTTTATTAACGGAGTCTCTCCTATCTGAGAAGGAATCATTTCTCAAAGTAGGCCCCTTTTCCACGGAGGGAGCACTAGATGGCATCACGGGCATGGCGTCTTACAAGTATGCTGGTATGGTGAATGTTATCACCCGATCTGCATTGAATTTAATGTATACAGGCATTAGAGCCGTAAACTATTAGCTCCATTCCTCTATTATACATGAATGTATACAGAGAACATTGAAAGTAGAGAGGGCAGCAAAAGGAAAATGAATCTTAAAAGTGTTGAATTGGTAGGTAATTGGGCAATTGATACAAAGCAAAGAAAGAAAGTGAGATTATATATATATATATATATATATATATATTGGCGAAAATTTTCCTGGATTCATAATCGAACAGAGTCCATCATCTACCCATGTTCTAAATTAACTAAAGAACCAAGGTGACATAAAGTGAAAAGCTGAAACTAGGAACAGAGTAATTAAATATATATGTAATCCAGAATTCTGCAGTGAGCTGCAGAGTACTTTTCCCTAAAAACAACAGCACCGAAGAGCAGAGAAGAGTAACTGAGCTGCTTCAGAGTAAGGTACCTCTTGTGGCAATGCGATTTCCGAAGCAGAAGAGCTCCTGGATTTGTTTCCTTTGTGTCACCGACTCCCGCTCTCACTACGAGAGTTCTTCGTGCCATGTGCTTATGTAGTATGTAGCCGCCCAAGTCGACGTGGTGCATGACGTAATCAAGCCATGTCTAAATGAAAATAAGTACTTTTTTGTCATTCTCTGGAAATAGATGGGCTGTTTATGACCTTTCCTCTTCCGCCTTTTTAATAGGATGCGACCCCATGTCTAGGATTCGAGTCACGGAAGGCAGACCTTGATGGATGTAGGGCTGCAAACGAAACGGATCGGATCGGAGCCGATATAGTCCAAATTTCATTTATTCATATTTGAATCCCAATCGGACTATATTTAACATTTGATAAGATGAGCTAAAAATAATTTTAATATTATATTTTATATTCTGATTTGAACTTAAATATATATGTTCATATATACTTCAAAGTTATATTGTATCTATCATTGAAGTTGATCTTAGAGTTATATTTTCACTAAATTATCATATGTTTAAATTTTATATAAGTAATTCCAATTCATTTTATTCATAAAAATAGGGGTGGATTCAAGCCAATCCAAGCTGAATATTTGGTTATTTGAGCTTGGCTCGCTAAAACTGTCTTAGGTTTGAGCTCAATCTGAGTTCGAGCTTGGCTCGGCTCGAGCTCGATCACAAGCTAAGTTTTTTTTCTAAAAAATAAAAAGTATATATATATATGTTATTTTACATAAAAAATTAAGAATTATAAAAATCATTTATTATTATACATATAAAAACTAAAAATATACATATAAATAATGTTTTTATTTTACATACAAAAAAAATAAGAATTATAAAAATTATTTACCATTATACATAAAAAATAAAAAATAATATAAAATATTATATATAATAAAAAATATTTATTATATATATGCATATGTATATGTATATGTATATGTATATGTCTGTATGTATATAATAAAAAAATATTTATTTATTATAGTAGGTTCATGAATCTCATGAGCCGAATTTCACTAAATTCAAGGTTGACTCAATTAACAAACAAGCCTACATTAGAGTCAAACTTGATTCAATGCTCAATTTAAATTAAACCGAACTGAACTTTTCACGAACCAAACTCGAATAATTCATGAAAAGCTCGAGTCGTGACCACCCTTATTTGCGGTCCTAAATTTGATGCCGAATTGCTGACTACCCGAACGAGTCGGATCTGCTACACACAACTCCACCCATAAGCCCCTGGAGATGTTCCCGATGCAAGTCTGTTGTATTTATAGCAGAAGATTCCGAATACAACACAAGAATTCCCTGCCCCTGCTATCGATGGGCGCGCATAATACATCATTTGAACCGTTGATTGGAACGATCACGGCAAGGAGCATCGACGGGGCCGAGACTGAGCGCAGTTGGATGACAGAATCTGATTTGACGAATTTCGCACATTGATTTACAAATTCAACAGTAAATTGAGAATTGGAATGGAGAAGACGTAGCAAATTGAGATTTGTTTTGTTAGGACTTTGGGGCGAAACTTGCCTGTCTTGACCAATGAGAATGGAGAGAGATAATCCTATCAGAGACATCCCTGCTACAAACTAGAAAGTAGAAGTAGAAACTTCCACTTGCTACGCCAATCAACCATTATCCATTATTCTTTTCTCCTAATCAGAGAAAATTAATGTATGCATATGCGACAATTAGATATGATCTCATGTGATGTGGTTATCAAAAAGAATTATTCTTTATCAATTAATTATTTACTATTTTGTATTTTGATCAGCTTTGTGATCCCTCCACTTTGGTCAGAGACAAATGTGGAATGGAAGGAACCTCTTTGTCCTTGGTGTTTGACACAATTGAACCAATCGACCACCCTACGCCAGCTTCCCGTTCAAAAGGAGTGCACCCCAACACGAAGTCCCGTTTCTACTTTCCAAACATGTTCTTGCGGCAAGGAAGTTCACCAAACCGCCGGTTTTACTCAACTCGAAAGAAAATTCCACCCATCCACCCAAAAATCAAAATGAATATTACTTTTATGACACCGGTTCATTGGTTATAATAGTAAGTCTCCCTACTATGCTTGATTTTTATGCAATAGTCATACATTAACTTCCTTCTCATCCTTCCTGCCTTTTTTATTTTTTCACTAACAACTTTTGGTTTCACACTGACCAAGGTTGTGTAACCAACTATAGAAATCCATAACATCACTCACCTTCTGCTCTTCTCACTATGAACCAAAGAACAAGAATGTAAAGCTGCAATATTGTCCATTATAAGAATCTACTGTCTAACAATATCACACTTAGTGTTAAGTCCACCCAAAAGTTCAAATACTCTGTTCCTTTTCTACCAGCCAAAAGTTCAAATATTCTGTTCCTTTTCTACCAGCTTCCTGTATGTAATTTCATCCTTCTAGTATCCCCATTCTACAATCTCTAGGTGGTCCTCCTACAATAGATTCTTTCTAGGGGTAAGAACTTTATGCCCCCCCCCCACCTCTCTTGATAGTTTTCCAAATTAATAAAATCTACAGTGGCCACCCCTCTACCAGGAGTAAATTTTGGAGTAAAAAAAATCACTGGCATTGTGGGTTTGAGTCAAAGAGCAGCAACTTTGTGCAAAAAATGCAAACATTAGGTCTTTATCCAATCCAAGATAGGAAAGGACAAACTAAACTACTTTCTTGACCTACTTTTTGATGCATCTAATTACCTTACATAAAAGCAGCAAAAGGCAATTTATTAAGGAAACTATTATGGAAAGGCAAGACAAAACCAATACATAACGCCTTGCATGATTTTTGCCATTCATGAAAGGTTCTTGATGTGCATGTCTCCATTCAAATTCAAATTCTTTATGTACAGTTGTTCAATGTAATCTATAAATTTACTGTAAATCACTCAATCAATATGTGAGGAAAACCTTTTGTTATCTCTTTTTTCTTTGACCTTTTATGGTATCAGAGCCTTTAAGACCAACGTCCTTTTTTTTCAGCCATGGCTACTTTCGAGAATTCTCCGTCTGCTACATCCTCTACCCAAAGCGACTCCCAAACTCAGCATTCTGCAGTTCCATAGATTACCTTCTCCCACCTTATCAATTTAATCTCTATTAAATTTGATCGCACTAATTTTCTTCTCCAGCATACCCAAATGGTTCCGACACTACGTGGGCATCGTATCTTTGGCTATGTTGATGGATTGTTTCCCTATCCACCGCAACATCTTGATGATTCCTCTAGACAACATATACTTAATCCCCTCCTGTATTCTCTCTGGCAAGAACAGGATCAGTTGATCCTTAGTTGGTTACTTTCATCTCTTACAAAACCTGTTTCAGCCCAAGTAGTTGGTTGTTCCTCCTCCAAATCTCTATGGAACACCCTTCATCATCTATTCTCATCCTCCAACAAAGCAAGGATCCATGATCTCAAGCTCGAATTGGCACACATAAAGAAAGGCACCCTCTCCATGTCTGAATACATTCAACATGTCAAAGGTATTGCAGACTCATTGGTAGCATCCAGCTATGTGGTTTTTTATTTTGACCTGGCACATTATCTTCTCAGAGGCCTACCTCTTGACTATGATCCTTTTGTTCTCACTGTTATTACCAAACTTGATGATCTCACAACTAGTGATGTTCAAATCCTTCTTCTTACCTACGAGAAGAGACTTGAAAGACATGCGCTTAGTGGTGTCTCCCTCTGTGAATGTAGCCAGCCGTGCCAAAACCAGAGACCACAATTCCCCTTCACATAACACTTTCCGTCGTCATCCATAACAGTCTCTGATGCAACAATCTAATTTCACTCTCCGCTCCAAGTAATAGACCTTCTCCAACAACAACAATGCCAACCACAATGGTCGTCGGCCCTACAACAACACCAACTCCTGGAAATCGCAAGTTACTTGCCAACTCTATAGTGAATGTAACCAGTCGTGCCAGAACTAAAGACCACAACTCCCCTTCACAGAACACTTCCCGTCGTCATCCATAACAATCTCCGATGCAGCAATCTAATTTCACTCACCGCTCCAAGGAACAAACCTTCTCCAACAACAATGCCAACCACAATGGTCATCGGCCCTACAACAACACCAACTCCTGAAAATCGCAAGTTACTTGCCAACTTCACAGTTACGTGGGTCACATTGCGACAACTTACCAACGGTATCTTGCTCTTACTAGTTCTGCACCTAATCAACATGGTTATGCCCTCATGGCTTCTTCCTCTTCTACATCTCCTTATCCAAATTGGTACCCTAACTCTGGGGCAACAAACCATATCAGACCTGATCTTCAAAATCCATCCACATATGATGAATATCAAGGCATTGATCATATTGCAGTTAATAATGGGGAAGTCTTCCAAATCTCTGACGTTGGATCCTTTGTTTTGAACACTCTTACTGGTTCTTTTTCATTACGTCACATTCTTCACGTTCCCCATATTACAAAGAACTTGATTTTTTTAAGCCAATTTTGTTGTGGGAACAATGCCTCTTTTGAATTTAATGCCCATGGTTTTCGTGTTAAAGATCTTACGGGGAGAACACTATTTCAAGGACCACTCAGTAATGGACTCTATCAACTACAACCATCACCTGGTACCAGCATCAATAATGGAGGTTGTGCTCTCATCGATGAACGTACTACTGCTACAGTTTGGCATCATAGACTCGACCATCCGAGTCCTAAAATAACAAATCATGTTATTTCTAAGTTTCATCTCCCCATCTCCAATAAGAAGCTAGAGTTTTGTGACCTGTGTCAGCTTGGAAAAAGTCATTGGCTACCATTCACATCCACTTCATCTGCTGTCTCAACACCATTAGAGATTATTTATGCTGATGTTTGGGGTCCTTCTCCCTATTATTCTTCTTCTAGACATCGGTATTACTTGTTATTTGTTGATGACTACAGCAAATACTCTTGGATTTTCCCTTTATATTCCAAATCCCAATTCCATCTACTTTTCTACAATTCAAAGCCAACATTGAAAATAAATTAAATTGTAAAATCAATAACCTTCACAC